ATGGAACACGAGGAAAACCTTTAAGTTGAATAAGCGTTTGGCATATAACTGTTTGTCAAAATGTATATGAACAGCATAATTCCAGTTTAAAATGTCAAGTTACTGATCCCGCGTCATGTACACCTCGTGTCATTATGGTAACATGTCAGGGAATAATTCTCTGTTGGAGAGGTCTGTATCATTCTAGATGATTTTACAGATAAACGTGACAGAAAATCTATATTTGAATTGAACAAAACATCATTATTGTCTTTTGGCACGCAAAATATATCATGAAGGTTTTGTATGAACCTATGATATGATCCGTTCAAATGAAACACATCTGTTATATTTTGTGTGGTTCCTTATATAAGTACAGATTAAATCATGAATTAGAAATAAATGGTTTTAAATATTTGTGCTTAAGCATGACACAGGTGTTTATGAAATATCAATAGATTGCATCTCGAATGAAAATGAAATTATATTCAAGAAGGTTTTAAAGAGTGAACTACAAATGTCAAAACGCAGATAACCATTCTAATTTATTTCTTCACGAACTTATTAGAATCTTAAACAGACTTTAAAAAAATAAGTTTAAGATGTAATAATACTGTATTATTTGAAATGAAAATTGAATAAACAAAACATTCTTTGCTACGAACTCTTTGAACACGATAGACATAACATATTAATGCAATTGTGTCAGCAATACCTTTATTTTATCAGCAATATCTTTATTTTATCATTAGCAATAATTTATATTGATTTTATCACCAGCAATATCTTTATTTTATCAGCAAAATATTTTATCCGAAATATCCTTATTTTATCAGCAATATATTTATTTTATCAGCAATGTCTTTATATTATCAGCAGTATCTTTATTTTATCAGCAATATTTTTATTTCATTTTATCAGCAATAACTTTATATTACCAGCAATACTAGTATCTTTATTTATCCAAAATAGCTTTTTTTCAACACTATATTTATTAAATCAGCAATATTTTTATTGTTTCAGCAATATCTTTATTTTATCCACAATATCTTTATTGTATTAGCCATACCTTTATTGTATCAGCAATAACGTTATATTATCAGCAATATCTTTATTCATCCAAAATATCTTTATTTTTTCAGCAATATATTTATTTTATCAGCAATATTTTTTATTGTATCAGTAATATATGTATTGTATTAGCAATACCTTTATTATATCAACAATATCTTTATTGTATCAGCAATACCTTTATTGTATCAGCAATATCTTTATTTTATCAGCAATATCTTTATTGTATCAGCAATGCTTTTATTGTTTCAGCAATATCTTTATTGTATAAGTAATATCTCTATTGTATCAGCAATATCTTTATTGCATCAGCAATACCTTTATTGTATCAGCAATATCTATAACAAATATATTAATAACACATGTATATATTTAAGTGGCATATACTTAAAACAAAATTAACATATAGAGCAAACCTTCATCACGTAACAGATCTTGAATTTATTGCTGTTTGTTGAGAGTACTGTATTGACAATGGTTTATACTCATACTGTCTGTCAACTAGTCTAATGAAGGGCAAATTATCATGTCACTTTCATCTGCATTATATGCTGATTTTGCTGAAATCTTTGCTGAAATCTTTGATAGCCTGAGCCTCTGAGTGAACTTGATTTTCTGTCAGAGTGTTAGCCACTTTCAGAGCGTTTATGCCATCATCGGCAGCCTCGAAAATACATTTCTATCTAGTACGGCAACATTGTTTTATTAAAGTGAAGAACTTAAAATATGATGGAATATGGTAAAAAAAGCAAAGAAGAACCTTGTAACCGCCTTTGGTCTCCTCTGTACGGATATTCCTTTCCGGACTGCAAGATTTTATTATACTCAATTGTTAAATTTAGTTAATCGCTAAATGGCATGCGGCAAAAGCTCAAAAGCCTCCATTTATATCAAAGCGTGCAAATAGGCAATAACATGGTAATTGATTTTGTGAAGGCGATGACTACCTTTTTATTTCTAAAAAAAGACAATGAATCCGGAACCCACTTCGAGACACGATGACGTAAAACAATTACCTGTATAACATCATTTTCCTAAAAGCATTTGTGTGGTGTCTTTTTATATGCAATCCATAAACTATTGAAACATACAAACCTTATCATGATTTATTGGCACAATCATGAAGTTTTATATCGACATGTTAAACTGGCTTTCATAATTGCACACTTTCAATGGATACTAAATCTTATAAATTTAATGTAAATATTTTTAGAATTATAATGTTTGTCAAGTCATAAATTTGTTGATAAGTCTATTGCTCCCTTGAACATCCAGGATGTTTTTTTTTTATTTCCTTAAAAGCAATTTATGCCTCAGAAACGAATAATGTTTCCTTCTTCAGAAAAGGCGAGCCTAAGTTTTCTAACTTATAATGGGTTAAAAGCATGTAATATGCTTATTATTAGAAGAATATAACGCTAAATGTGATATTATTTGTCTTAAAAGTAGCAAAATGTAAACAATGTAGTATTTTGACTTCCATACAAAACACTAAATCAAAACTTGTTCTTATTGCCAAAAAAGCAGCAGAAGCAAAATATGATACACATAATCATATCGTACACCAAAAATAATATCTTTTGAGAAATAAAGGTAAAAGCATTTTATGGACATAATGGGACTTTAAAAATGATCAATTAAAAACAATTAAAACAGAACTCTCTTATTAATATATAGCGAGTATTCCTCAGTCACCGTAGTTCAGTGAAAAATATCGGTCAGCAATGTTCAGTGAGAAAACTGTGTGCAGTACTTGAAAAAAAATCCAGTGAGTTTTATACTAAATAAAAAAAACAACATTAGTGCGAAACATTAACAATGGAAACTTTATTGAGCATTTGCCAGTAAAGTTAGAAAAAGGCTACATGTAACTTACATTAATCACGCAACCGCCCACACGTTGTTCTCCATATATGTAAATTTGGAAGTAATCATGAAATAAGAGACCAAATTTGCATATATTTTTGTGTGAAAATCCGATCCACATCAGTATGATAGAAAGAAACAACACAAACGTTTGGCTGAAAACTGATATCCAAAACACTGAGAGACCCCAATATAAACTGGACAAACGATTGTATGTTGTACTTATACGAGTTATCCGAATAACCTTCGTAACTTTTTATTTATGATTTAATCAACTTGAACTTCTGTTGTTGTTTAATAAGTAAACTATATTTTAAAACGACAGTAAGTATGGTTCAGAAGGGATCATAAAATTTTAGATATTTATTTAAGTTATCAAACAACATGGCAGTTTGGAATCGTGACTATATTGAAATAAATATGTCCCAAAGCAAGGACTGAGGTACAGCTGAAAAAACATGACCATAATACATGTAAAACATATTATATTTCATGAAATTGAAAAGTTGAAATCGTGAATTCATGAAGATGTAATTGTGAATTCGTGAAGATGAAATTGTGAATTCATGAAGCTGAAATCTTTAATCCTTTAATTCCGTATGTTAAAATAACGAATTCACGGGGATGAGAATTCCTGAAGTTGAAATGTCCCCAAAAGTCCTTTTTTCGTAGCTATGTGGTTCTGCACTTAAAGAATACAAATGCAGCATTGCTTTGTATATTACAATATAAATCTCGATCAAATTTGAACGTCCCAATTTTCATTTCTTCGTGTTCTTTCAGAACACATTCATTTATCACTAAATGTTGCCACACATAGGTTTAATGTCTCAAGATGGATTTTCATGAAAGGAATGCCAAGTTGCCTGACGAATGTAACTACACGGGGAGCTAAATCCGTTTCTATTTAACTTTTGGCTGAAAACTGATATCCAAAACACTGAGAGACCCCAATATAAACTGGACAAACGATTGTATGTTGTACTAATACGAGTTATCCGAATAACCTTCGTAACTTTTTATTTATGATTTAATCAACTTGAACTTCTGTCGTTGTTTAATAAGTAAACTATATTTTAAAACGACAGTAAGTATGGTTCAGAAGGGATCATAAAATTTTAGATGTTTATTTAAGTTATCAAACAACATGGCAGTTTGGAATCGTGACTATATTGAAATAAATATGTCCCAAAGCAAGGACTGAGGTACAGCTGAAAAAACATGACCATAATACATGTAAAACATATTATATTTCATGAAATTGAAAAGTTGAAATCGTGAATTCATGAAGATGTAATTGTGAATTCGTGAAGATGAAATTGTGAAATCATGAAGCTGAAATCTTTAATCCTTTAATTCCGTATGTTAAAATAACGAATTCACGGGGATGAGAATTCCTGAAGTTGAAATGTCCCCAAAAGTCCTTTTTTCGTAGCTATGTGGTTCTGCACTTGAAGAATACAAATGCAGCATTGCTTTGTATATTACAATATAAATCTCGATCAAATTTGAACGTCCCAATTTTCATTTCTTCGTGTTCTTTCAGAACACATTCATTGATCACTAAATGTTGCCACACATAATTTAATGTCTCAAGATGGATTTTCATGAAAGGAATGCCAAGTTGCCTGCCGAATGTAACTACACGGGGAGCTAAATCCGTTTCTATTTAACGTTTGGCTGAAAACTGATATCCAAAACACTGAGAGACCCCAATATAAACTGGACAAACGATTGTATTTTGTACTAATACGAGTTATCCGAATAACCTTCGTAACTTTTTATTATACATAATAAATACAGATACCAAATACATACCACATACAGATTTGTCATTGTCTTAGAAATACAGACTTCTATATCACAGCCGACTTTAATCACATTCAACAGACGAATAACTGATCTTTTATTGAATGTCGTTAAATAATTCATCAACTTCATTTGTCCAAAGTTATAAATATTGTAGCCATATTTGAGCATTTCTTGGACAACCATTGACCACATTTTTGTCTTTTGTTATTAACATCGAAACACGCCCTTATTTTTAACGCAAACATCAAATGCTACATTTACAGTTTTTGTACCTTCTTATCATTAACATTTTCAGTTGATCTCTTATAAAATACATCACCATTATACCATTACATTTGTATATTCGTTTCTCATAAAAGTAGTGGCCGCCGTCATCATCGTCGTCATTACCAGCATAGTCATCATCCTCTTCGTCATCATTATCAGAATAGTCATCCTCTTCTTCTTCGTCATCATTATCAGCATAGTCGTCATCCTCTTCGTCATCATTATCAGAATAGTCATCATCCTCTTCGTCATCATTATCAGAATAGTCATCATCCTCTTCGTCATCATTATCAGCATAGTCATCATCCTCTTCGTCATCATTATCAGAATAGTCATCATCCTCTTCGTCATCATTATCAGAATAGTCATCATCCTCTTCGTCATCATTATCAGAATAGTCATCATCCTCTTCGTCATCATTATCAGAATAGTCATCATCCTCTTCGTCGTCATTACCAGCATGGTCATCATCCTCTTCGTCATCATTATCAGAATCATTTTTGTGAATGTTTTTCAATTCAACAAAAACATTTTGTCCTGACAAGTGTATACATTACACAAGGTCATTATGTAATGTCTAAATATTTTTGTAAAGAAGTTAAATCTAATATTATATTATCCAAAAGAAAATCAACAAATATAGTATGGCAACAATTCAATAAGAAGAATGACGGATATGACAAAACTCGCTTTCCAAAATATTTGTAATGTTGCTAATTTTTAGCTTCATTTCAGCCCATTAAGATTTGGAACAATGTATTTTTTCTTACCCAAACACATATTACTTTCGTTTTCTATGCAAAGCATAAACCGTCTTCTGTGCAATGCGTTTTTAATCTCGATGGACAATTCTATACAAAGTATAAACTAGTCCATTTATATTGCTTATCTACTGCCAATCATGGGTTTTGAAGAAGAGATATTAATAAGTTATATGGGAGGTTATTACTTATAACTTGTAACATGCCCTAAATGTGTTACTTTTCTTCTTCTGTTTCAATAATGTACACATTTACCTAAGTTTCAAATAAACAAGGCTTTTACATTTATCGGCCCGGGATGCCATAATTAATATTGTGATAACGGTAATGTTATGGATTTTTGTATTAACTTATGTACGCAGTTAAAATGATTTAACGTGCATGAAAATGATGTATATGCAAACACATTTATTTTATGCCTATGATTTATTTTCTTGAGGCTGTTGGAAGCACAATCCTTCAGAATGGGATACAGCCCCCCCCCCCACCTTATCGGAATATGTTGCAATCACAATTAAGTGAATAGAGAATAGAGGTACACCGATTTGAAAACAATTAGCCCACTTCTGATTCCAGTGAGCTTTTAATAAGCAAACTTTGGATATTGCAAGTTTTACTTTGGAGTGGTGGGAGGCAATAACACCAGATATTTGGTCAGAACTCATTCATTACCCTTCAAATGAAAAAAAAAATGTTAATATTAAAACGATATCAATATAATTTAACTATCCACACAAAACTTCACCTGAAAAAAATATTTTCAGGTATATTTAGGTTTTGAATGGTGTTGAAATGTTGGTGCTTGCTACACTTTGAATAGTACATATAGACGACTATTAATTTTACATGGCAGAATCATTACAAATATGACGCTGTACGTACTTTCATCTAACTTATCAATTTTTGAAATTTCAATAAGAACTAAGCCATCGAATAATGTCACGTTGCAGTTTTATCAAGATGACACTGAAGATAATAAGCGTCATAAAAGATTTGCCGAAGAAATGGAATCATTATGGATAGAGGATTTGTTAGACGTATGGAACAGAATTAATGCATTTATTCCATCTTGCTTTATGATATCGGAACTTACATTATGCTTGCTTCTATACTTCTTTATGACAATGAAATCCTGCGTTTTGCTGAATTCAATCATGCCTTATGATTACTGAATGCACTTTCATGTAATTGCAACCTTGTGTGTTCCCTACTAAACCATCAAACTCACATATTTTAATATGCTATATGTTTAATTGCATCTTTTTTTAAGGACAACGTATTATGTTTGGTGTTTAAGATAACATTCTTTATAACTATATGTAACATGGTAGTTGTATCTTTAATTTGCTATAAATCTGCCACTTCTATTGTTGACATTATGTCAAAATAAACTATTCATTTTGATCAATAATTGGCGAATTTGATGCGTCTTAGCATTCATATGCTTCAATATATTCACTGATTACAAATATAATGCAATACATGATCACTGCGCATCGACAACGAAGATGACAACGATAGCGATATTATAGTTGCATGTGACAGTACGCACTAAGCAGTTGCCAGTAAGCAGTAAGCATAATGCGAGTTGCAATAATTTGTGTTCATATTATGACAGCAGGTGTCGCTTTGTCGGTACATCCCGTTATTTTCCGGATGATCCCGTATTTTGGCACGTGGAGTAAACAAAGTTACGTCCACTTTATATAGGGGCGTATACAGAACAGTGTTAGTTGGGGACTGACATGTTAATTTACTGATAAACAAGAGAACACGATGCGACAGACGAAAAGTGCGTGTTTTTGAAGATTCCGCCAGCATGCGGAAAAAAAAGTTATATATGTCTCTAATAACTCATCCTACAAGTGGCAACTCACCTCTTATACAATTGTATGGAACAGAATTAATGCATTTATTCTATCTTGCTTGATGACATTGGAACTTGCATTATGCTTAATTCCATCTTGCTTGATGACATTGGAACTTGCATTATGCTTGATTCCATCTTGCTTGATGACATTGGAACTTGGATTATGCTTAATTCCATATTGCTACATGACATTAGAACTTGCATTATGATTGATTCCATCTTGCTTTATGATATTTTATCTTTGCATTATGCTGGATTCCATTATTCATTATTTCATTCAAACATTTCGTAGTGACCAATTCTTTCATTGAGTGATAACTATTAAACTGGAACGAGCCATTTGGAATATTAAAATGTTAACGTCATATACCTTTATGTATAAGCTACCTTTCTTCATGCTCTATACAAACTATTTACGGTTTAGTTTTTCTTGTATTACTTTTATGTAGAAGTCATTTAAAATTGACTATTTTTTGTTCCCTGATGGAGTTTGTTAAAATGTGACTTATTTGATTTATAGCTCGCATGGCGTGACTATTAGGTTTCGCTTATATCCATTATTCAGTGTTTATGCTTAATAAAGCTCGGTGTCTGAGGCTTTGTGGATTATGTTTGATCATCTTACATTATGATAAACAATTTAAACAATGTCTAGCGATTTGTGAACTGTTAAGGGGCGATAACTCTGTTATCGATATCAACGGATTTTTTCCATGATTCGCCTATCATCGGAATTTTCCGTACATGTATATATTACGGAATACCGTTAGGGCCATCGTGGTTATACGTTAAAATACAGAGGGCGACAATGCTATAAATACGTACCAAGCGCTTAATACATAAATTACAGTGGAAAGAATATAAATACAAGTAGTAAGGATTATGCAATATAATTTTATACATGTATATGTATACAGTCTAATAGAAAAATATGCTCGTAAACAGTTATTCAATGGGGCAGTTATACGTACAGTGGCGGATTCAGGCCTTGGCTTAAGGGCTGCACCTACCCCCAAAGATACGTTGATGGGCTGTTATATACGTGTAAGTTTCATGCAATAGTGGTCATAGTGTACTCCCTTATCAAAACATATAATGCTGTCATCCAGTTGTTAAGCACCTGCCCAGGAATTGCGATTGCGGAGGTCTTTAAAAGAAACTTCCATATATGTTTTTGTAATAACACTATACATGAATATTCATACTGCCCACTTACAGTGTAAAGGATTTAAAGCACAATGTTTGTGTGAAGCCAAATTATATTTATTTTATTTTACAAAAAGTTTGTACTGTACTTAGTCGTGGCCACGAGTTACTAAGTGACATGTGTGTGTTTTTATTTATCTCGTGCGCACGAGACACGAGTTACTAAGTCGTGGCCACGAGATAGTTAAGTCGTGGGAACGAGATATATAATTCGTGCGAACGAGATAAATAACCAATCAAATTACACTATTTATATGAATTTTCCTAACAAGGATGCCCCTACTTCACTTGCCCGTAAAAGTGCCATTTATACAAGTTATTGATTGGTCAAAGATTTAGCGTCATTATGACCCTGATTTCTGACCAAATTGCCTAAAAATTATTAGGTGTCATCTACTGATCTTTTTAGGTTATATAAACTACGGCTTATTCTTTCTAAATCATTCATCAGACAAGGATTTTACATGAAGTGTCATGTTTATCTGACCTGTGACCTCAAACATCCTTATATGATATCTACTGTCCATGGGCAATGTCCCTTCCCAATAAAATAAACCCTCTCAAGTTATGGTATGAACAATGTTAACAGGCCTTTGTACGTACAAAATGACCAATTCTTTCAAAGAATTGTCCCAACAAAGGGCTATAACTTAGTCAAAATTAATGTCTGATTTATGGGCCTTATGATCCTAAAGACATGTATTAAGCTCAAAGTGAACACTTCAGTATTTTCAAAGATTAATGTAGAAATTTTCTAAGTTTAAAAAATCATGGTGTAATCTGATTGGTTAATTATCTCGTCTGCACGACTTAGTTATCTCGTTCCCACGACTTAAACGACTTAGTAACTCGTGGCCGTGACATAGTATCTCGTGGCTACGATATAGTATCTCGTTCCCACGACTTAACTATCTCGTGGCCACGTGCGCACGAGATAAATAAAAACACACACATGTCACTTAATAACTCGTGGCCACGACTTAGTACAGTACAAACTTGATTTTTTTTTGTAAAATAAAATAAATATAATTTGGCTTCACACAAACATTGTGCTTTAAATCCTTTACACTGTAAGTGGGCAGTATGAATATTCACAAAAATATATATGGAAGTTTCTTTTAAAGACAGGCACAACTTTACTTGACCCGTAATAAGGAAAGCAGATTCCTATACATTATGTGTATGTGTTTTTCTTTAAATAAAACATATTTAGTAAGAATTTTATAGACTTCAATAAATTTCTGTGATAAAAATATATTACTGAAAGATGTGCATAGTATATCTTTAAGCACAAATGTATGTGAATGTGGTGGTGTGTGCGGGATGTCTGATCTATAATCAGACACACATATGCCCAACATTTATAATTGACTATGCACATGTCACAAAAATAAACAACTTCCTTCTTTCCTTATTATACATGTATAATTATTTTAATGTGTTACATACCTATCCGCAACTATAAGTGACTCTGAGACATTTATTAAGTTAAAAGGCCAATTAATAAGTTTTGCTTTTAATGTCCAAGTCATTAGATAAAGACCTTCGCAAGGCAGGTGCTTAACAACTGGATGACAGCATTATATGTTTTGATAAGGGAGTACACTATGACCACTATTGCATGAAACTTACACGTATATATTCCATCCCAGCTCATCAACGTATCTTTGGGGGTAGGTGCAGCCCTTAAGCCAAGGCCTGAATCCGCCACTGTACGTATAACTGCCCCATTGAATAACTGTTTACGAGCATATTTTTTCTATTAGACTGTATACATATACATGTATAAAATTATATTGCATAATCCTTACTACTTGTATTTATATTCTTTCCACTGCAATTTATGTATTAAGCGCTTGGTACGTATTTATAGCATTGTCGCCCTCTGTATTTTAACGTATAACCACGATGGCCCTAACGGTATTCCGTAATATATACATGTA